CCCGCGGTGCCCCTCGGCGGGCGGCTGTGCTACTGACCGGGCGACGCCGTCGGGGCTGCCGGGGCCGCGCTGAGCGTTCGGGGGGGACGCGGCACAGGCCCGGGTCTGTCACCGAGCGGCGCCCCAGCCTCTGCGCTCGGTGTCACTGCCCCGGCTCTGCCTCGGGATCCGTGCTCTCAAAGTTACGGTTGCAGGGCACTCCCGCGGGCGCACGGCGGGGGTGGGCGACTGGAATGTTTTTGTTGTCACCGGAGTGTAATCGAGATGACGCACGCTTTTATAGTGGCCGTGAAATGAACAGTTTGGACGTTTGTCATCTCTTCTCAGAGAACCACGCTCAACGGTTACGTCGTGATAGCGTTTTTGTGTTCAGAGATCAGTGGCCCTTGACGGTTTAAATTGTACGACACTAGTTTAGAGATGTTATTAATACCCCACCGCTGTCCTCATCTCTACCCCCCAAAAAATAAAAAAAAAGGTAGGGGGAGGGAGTGTTCATTGCTTACTAGAGTTGTACTCTTTTATTTCTGGAAAGTACTTCCTAACCATTGTTCTTCCACTTTGGATATTTTCCTATCGCTTTGCAGACCCCTTTGCTGATGCAACTAAGGGTGACGACTTACTCCCGGCAGGGACTGAGGATTACATTCATATAAGAATCCAGCAACGGAACGGCAGAAAGACACTGACTACTGTTCAGGGCATTGCAGATGATTATGACAAGAAGAAACTTGTGAAAGCTTTCAAAAAGGTAAAGGCGTTAGGAAGAAGGGATTAAAATAGAATTACTGATGCACATCTCAGAATTGGATTATGGTTCACACCTTAATTTGAATACATCACTGTGGAAAAAAAAAAAAAAAAAAAAAGACAACCCAAGAAAGCTGTTTTCATTCTTGTAATTAACACCTAGATATGTGGTTATTTTCCCAGTATAATTTCCCATCTTAAAAGAAGGCTTACATGGCTTTTAAAGAAAATAAAATGTGAAATATTTAATTCCTGATGTTCCACATAATATAATTTGCTTTACGTTGACCTGCTGACGTGTTTACAAATTAACTTAATTTGGAAGAGTTAGGGAGTATAGGAGAGAAAATCTGTGTCTCAAATATAATGAATTCTACTGAAATAATTGTATGATAACATAAAACCGCATTGTATCAGGCTAATTTTGTACATTTCTGTACCTCAGAAATTTGCTTGTAATGGTACTGTGATTGAACATCCTGAATACGGAGAGGTTATTCAGCTTCAAGGTGACCAAAGAAAGAACATTTGCCAGTTTCTTCTTGAGGTGAGTAATCGGCACTTTATGTGTTAACTTGAGATAGCATCTAAAATTGTATTTAAAGGGGTCATGAATTATTTCCCATTGCGTACACATTGTGGATTTTATTCTTATACAGACTTGGTACTTACATAGGAGACAGTAAGACCTTTAACCAGTTTATTTTTATCATTAAAATGATGTGATCATTCCCATATATAAACGGCGTATCTTAACATAGATAGGTGTATTCAGATGTGTGTTGAATTGTTTGATATTAATAGCGCGTGACACAGATAATGCTGTTAAATTAGCTGCTGACAGTGACTCTGTTCCGTGTTTTTGTAGGAATGAATGTATTCCTCAGAGTGATGCTGTTAAATTGAATTTTATTTTACAGGTTGGCATTGTCAAGGAGGAGCAGCTTAAGGTTCATGGATTCTAAAATGAACCTAAATACATGGAGAATTTCCTGAATGATTTGGTCTCTAAACTCAGTTTGGCTGCCTTGTGAAATGATTCTCTGCAGTAAACGGACTTTTCATTTATTTAATCATTCAAACTCTCATTCACATCTGCATGATTACAGAAAGCATGGGGTGTGTAGGCTAGTGACACATAAGAAAATTGCAGTAAGATGGTAACAAAAACCCGTATTCATCTTAACATGTTTCCAATGGAAAATATTTTGTTTTGAGTGTTTGTTTATTGTTCAGTTTATTACTTTTCACTTGATTAAATGTTTTTTGTTGTATTAAACCATGTATGTTGCAGCTTAACAATAAAAAAAACTATGAATTCTTTTGTGAGCAGTTATGCTCCCAAATCTAAGCAAGTAAGGTACCACATACGCATTGTCTTTTGTAGTTGGAGTTTTCATTCTGCAAATATTCTTTCTGATGAGCTTCAGTTGCTGTTATACTCAGAGATGGAGAACTTTTGTCAACTGTAGCTTTTGTTTACTAACTTGAGTTGGAGCAAGATTATAAACTCAGCTTGAGCCATTACTTCTTATAAACCAACTAAAGTCATAGAGTTTATCAGAATGTAGTGTTCAATTTTTAAAAAGAAATGTGAAGTTTAAAATATTAGCACATTATGCATTTTTATTAATTATGTTACTGGGCTGCTAACATAAGTGTATCCCTAAGTGCTGGGTACTATACTAGGCTCATGGTATAAAATAGATTTAGTCACAGGCACTGCTCTGTAAGAGTAGTTTGTGGTATCACTGTTTTACAGATGGAAGGCTTCTGGTTAACTTCCCTAGGACGCTAGAAAATGAGATTCGGTGCCAGCCCAGGGCTTCCAGCCAAAAAGCCGTGTTCTTTCACTACACTTTAGTTTTGGTATGTTTCACCAAGGGAGGTCCATGTCACAGATGACAGTGCACCAGGGATGGTCTTGAGTAATAAATATAACTTACAGTTCTTAATTATTACAGTTCTCTCATCCTCTGATCTTAGTTTTCTATTGAGCAATAGTTGTTTGCATAGTTGTACAAACCTTGCCATTGAAACCACTTTGCTGGTGGCATGGTTAATGCTCTGGACACTCCCACATGACCAGCCTTGGTCCAAGTCCTGGTCCTGGTGACTTGCTTTCTCAGTTTCCCCCCTCTGTCTCCAGTTAAATTAAAATAAAGTGAACAAATTAAAAACAAAACAAACAAAAAAGACCACTTTGCCAAAATAAAGAAGGAACTTTTTAGCTTGATACGGGATGATGATGGTATGAAAAAAGGCTATCATGGGGCCAACAGGTGTCATAGTGGTTAAGGCACTGGACTCCCGCATGGCTGACCGTGTTTCTGAATCCAGACCTAGTGACTTGACGCTCATGCTGGGTGCATGTGTGTGCATGTCCAAAATCCTGAGAGAACTGACTGGTGTGGGACCATCTCCCCCAGGCAGTGAATGTCTACTGTGTGGGTCAGTATATAGTCAATAAGCTCTTCCCTCTTTTTCGATGGTTCTGCTTTTGGGTAAACAAAATAACCCCCCACAGTTTGCCACTTAAAGGCACTATGTAATAGGCTTGTTATTTTCTTGCCCCTTACCTATAACTCAAAAACGGACTGTTAGGTACGAATACACCAAGATAGTATGCCAAGTTTGGTAAGCTCATTTCTGGAAAACCTCCATGATTTGACTAAGAAGAGCGAGAGCTTTGGGAGAATTTTCCAGCTTCCTGAGAAGCCCCCAGTAGTCTACCTGTAGCTGTAGCATTGTGTAATGATTCTACTTGTAGTTGAAGGGTGCTATGGAAATGGTAAAGCATCCATATTCAAGTGTTCTAAATAAGTCTGAAAGCTGAGCAAGTGCCTAATAAAGCATCACCTTCTGATCCGGTGAGATGAGGGCAGCCTCATACACAGGATGTAAAAGGATCCCCTATCCCCACCCAACCCTGGCACCCACACACAGATAAGCTCTTTAGTAATCAGGTCATGTGTCAAGCCACTCAGAGTTGATGAGATTAAAAGCCAGGAACAAAACTTGCTTCTGGATTTTGTGAGGAGTACCTGTATGTATTCCTTAATCAGCCCTGACACCTGACTGAATTTGTCACCCATAGGCATTGCCATTTTTTTTTTTTTTTAAGATTTTTGCTATAGGGCACATGCACTCACTGGAGAGACAGAAAGAAATCACCTGGGGCGGGAGAATGGCTACACCACATTCCTATCTCCATTCTCTTGGGAGTTTGGGCACACGGGCACACTTGCCCCGCTTAAGTTTTAGGCCACCAGGTCAGGGAGGCAAACCATGGTCGACCAAGTGAGACTCCAGCAATGTAACCACTATGCCTTCTGCTGGTCCTAGGCATCCCCAGCCTTAACATCAAGATAGACTGTGTACCCTTCTTGCTTGTTTTTGAGCAGGAAGTGGCTATAGAGTATGTATCTGCAGATTTCTGCAATTTTACTGAAACTAGTGGAAGGATAAACTTGGAACCATCACCCTCAATTAGAAAAGCTGAGGGAAAAGGAAGACAGATTGCATCTTGTAGATACTGAAAAAGACAGCAGTAGCCAAATGATACTGCTGTGCCTCTCAAGTGAGATTTTGATGCAATTTCTTTAGCAAAATGGAAAATATCAGAACAGATGTATTCCTCTTTGGGTCTACATAGACTTAGCAGAGGTCTTATGAAGGCATTAAAACATTAGGAGCTGGGGCCAGCTGATGGCGTAGTGATTTCATTGGTGGCCTCCCACATAAGCCTACTGCATTTTGAGCCCTAAGACCCAGCAGCTTAAAGCTCATGCCAGCAAGTGGCGTGGTTGGGATGCTGGACTCCCACATGGGTGGCTGCAGTTTGAGTCCTGGACCTGACAACTTGCTTTCTGCTTTCTCTGTCTCTGGTCAAATTTAAAAAAGAATAGTAATGAAATTAAATAAGTGATTCTTAAAAAAAAAAAAAAAATCAAAATGCAGAGCATGTGTGCCTGAGTGCCCAAGATCCCAAGAGGAGAATGAAAGAGAAGGGATTGTAGCATGGCCATCCCCTCTGGGGGTGATTTTCCATCTTCTGTCTCTCTGTCTCTGGCGACTACCCCAAGTCCCGAGAGGAGAATAGAGAAGGGATTGTGGCGTGGTCGTTCCCTCATGGGGTGATTTCTTGCTTTCTGTCTGGTGAGCGCACATACCCTATAGCAAAAATCTTGCAATAAATAAATAATTTTAGGAGCTTTCAGGCCAGCATGGTGTTTAAGGTACTGGATCCCATATGGCTGACTGCAGTTCCAGTTGTGGACCCTGCAGCTTGGTAAACATGCCAGGCGTGTGTGTGTGTGTGTGTCCCAAGAGGGTGCGTGTGCCCTATGGCAATAATGTGAAAACATGAGCTTTGATTGAGGCGCAGCCTGCAATAAGCCCTGTCAGCAGCAGTGTCCTCTACCTTCCGATCTTGGCCCTCGAGGCAGAGGCCTGCTATACCTGCTCAGGGAGCTATTTTTAACCATCTAGAGTGTGGGTGGCTCTGATCATTGGAAGCAACAGTTCTAGTCCCAGTCATGATGGCAGTTAACAAAAAGGCTTGAGCCACATGGAGTGGTGATGGCCACCTCTATGCACCACCTGTATGCCACCTGCTGGGCTCCAGCTAAAGAAATGGGTGGATGCGGCTCCGAAAAGTCAGCTTCACTAGGTCTCCCACATGCCTGTTCCCTTGGGCCTCTGAGGAGTCCCTGTACCAAGCCAGAGGTCCTCAGGGAAGCATGGTCCTGCTGTAACTAAAACCAAGAAAGGTCCTTTGGACTGCTGCCAGTCACTCGGCAAGCAGGTGGTCCCGGGTGATCCTGTGCTTGT